GGGACCAAAGCCCTTGACCATCGAGGAATACAAGGCACGGACAGCAGCGAGGGAGCAGCCACCCAAGAAGAAGCGAAGAGGCTGCCGGATTAAATTGCTCAGAGCAAGGAGATTAAACATCGAGTTGCTGAAGACGGCAACCAACGAGAAAGACCGACAGCGATACAAAGAGTGCCTTGCAGCTCTCAACAATCAACTTCGTGGTGCGAAGTAAAGCGGCGAGCTGCGTTAAACGCCATAGCTCCAACCGCCCAAATATAACTAACGTTGCCAATGCGGTTTCCGCTGCAACAAAAAATTACTAACTTAATAGGGCCCCATTTTCACCACTAACACATTATTCTCAGTCCTAAACTTAATATAAGTAAAACATTGAAAACTTGATAATTTGCTAATGTAAACTGAGTATAATGAATTCATTCATTAATTAGGGAAATGGTATAGAGTTTCAATATACACAAAAGAAAAAAATATCAATTATTCAAGATATATCTATGTCTTTACCTAAAATTGCTTACAAATAATAACACTATGGGCGGCAAACAATCCAAAGCGGACGACAACACCGCAAATGTTGTAAGTACAATAGAAGTCGTGGATACAACTCCACATTAATATCAGCTATTAACCTAGCACAAAAGATATATATTCTTCACAAGAGATCGTTGAGAAAGACCAACATGAGTCAATGATTTAAACAGAATATAAAAAAAAAACAAAAAACCGTTGTAACATACGTGATGGCCATAATACAGACCATATCCAAAGAATATTAAAGTAACACCACAGGGGTACAGGTGCGATTACATCGCTAAAATGTACATTCATGGAATGGAATCTAGCAATAACTATAAACAAAATTAGAGATGCTTTTGATAAGTCATATAAATGCATCAACAAAAACGCGCTGATACAAACTCAGACGCTTATTTTTCATATAAAAGTATTGATAACGCAATACAACACGTTACGAAAACTAATATTAGAACACAAAGGCAAACTCACTGAAGAACATAAAGCTCAATGCTTAAAAGTTCTCAGTTCATTCCGTAGAAGACTACATAATACTAGTGCTAGACATAGTATTATAATAGAAGTCCCAACCGACATAACCAAAATAGCGGAATTCGATGAAAACCAGCTAAAAGACCTGGACGAGTCAAAACCGCAAGAGGATTTTGATATCGAAAGCGATATCGAATCCATAGAAGAGGTAAAGCCAAATCCATTACAAGTTACAATAAACATGACCAATACAGTGGAAGCTCAGAGGGTATGCCTTCTTATCCTTATCCTCCACAATACCTGAATTTATTGGTAAGAAACTCCACCTAAACAGGTATGTGACAGCACTAAAACTGACAGATCTAATCAAGGGAGACCAGAAAAAGTTAGCCGTAGAGTTCATCAAGACCAAAATTGGACCACTGACGTATAAAGTCGAACATGCGACATCGATACAAGCAATATTTGAAATATTGCAGGCAACCGTAAAAGGTGAATCACCTGACGTTATAAAAGCCAAATTATTAAATACCCAACAAAAAGGCAAGACCGCGTCCCAGTACGCTACTGAAATAGGCAATATGCGTAAGCAGCTAGAAGCAGCTTACATAGACAGCAGATTAGACGCCGATAATGCCGACAAATTCGCGACAAAAGAGTCGATATCGGCTATGATCAAAAACAAAGACAATCACTCACTCAAAATGATTTTAACAGCGGGTACATTTAGTACATTCAATGATGCAATGGAAAAATACATACATACATTGCAGTACTGAAATGACCGGCAATTCGAACACAATCTTTTTCTATAATGGGAATAATCGACGAGGTAATTATAATGCCAACTATCGAGGTAGAGGCAGAAATAATCACAACCAGAATTATCACCAAAATTATAACAATAGTAACAGAGGTCGCGGAAGTTATCGCGGCCGTATTAATAACAGAGGCGGAGGTAACCGAGGGAGTAACTAAAGCCAAAATTACAATCAAAACCAAAACGGCAATAACAACCGAAATGTGCGTAACGTACAATCGGAAAACAGCCAGACCCCCTTAAGCAATCAGCAGTAAAGGTGTTTAACTTGAACCTAAATCTGAGTATCTTTATTAAAGCTAAAAACCACAAAACAAACTCAATTCTTACATTATTAATAGACACAGGTGCAGACATTTCATTGCTAAAAGACACAGCAAATGAATATAACAACTTAAATTTCAGTAATATATCAAAAATTACAGGTATTGGGCAAGGAACCATACAGTCTATAGGAGCAATTGATCTTGACCTACGCATTCAGGATGTTCTAGTGCCACACGAATTTCATGTAGTACCTGAGAATATTCCAATACCATGCGATGGCATAGTCGGTTTAGATTTTATTAAAAAATTAAATTGCATATTAGAATTTCAAAGCAATCAAGACTGGTTCATAATAAGACTCAATAACTTCAATAGACATATAAATATATCAATTTTACACAACTTAGATTCAAACACATTATTATTTCCAGCTAGATGCGAAGTAATTAGACAAGTCAAACTACTTACTAGCGAAAAAAAACGGTTGTAGTACCAAATCAGGAGCTACAACCGGGCATAATAATAACAAGCACAATTGTCGAATACTAAAGATGCCATAATAGAAGGCGCAAAGATCAAATTCGAATCAATGAAAGAAATGAAAATTAAAATAGAACCAAAGAAATCTTAAAACAACTGAGATTTCCTAATCAGTTTAATTCAGTACTAACTAATTTATGCAACGAATTTAGCGATATTTTTGGTTTAGAAACAGAACCAATATCAGCTAACAATTTTTACAAACAAAAACTCAGATTAAACACCGGTCTATATAAAAAACTATCGCATGGCAGAGAGCCAAAAACCAGAAATCGCGAGACAGGTTAAAAAATTAATAGATGATGGAATTGTCGAAGCATCAATGTCCGAATTTAATAGTCCATTACTTTTGGTTCCAAAGAAACCACTTCCGAATTCAACGGAAAAAAGATGGCGATTAGCAGTAGACTAACGTCAAATAAATAAGAAACTATTATCAGACAAATTTCCCCTTCCAAGAATAAAAGATATTCTTGATCAATTAGGAAGAGCAAAATGTTTTTCATGCCTCGACCTAATGTCTGGATTCCACCAGATAGAACTAGAAAAAAAGTATAGAGATATAACATAATTTTCAACAGCCAACGGCTCATATCGCTTCACGCGACTACCATACGGACTGAAAGTAGCACCAAACTCTTTCCGACGTATGATGACACTTGCATTCTCTGGCCTTGAACCATCGCAAGCATTTCTATATATGGATGATTTATTAGTAATAGGTTGTTCAGAAAAATATATGCTCACAAATTTAACAAAGGTATTCGAGCTATGTAGACAACATAATCTGAAACTACATCCTTGGAAATGTTCTTTCTTTATGAAAGAAGTCACATATTTGGGTCACAAATGTACCGATAAAGGTATACTCCCAGATGACACCAAATATGAAGTGGATATATGAATATCCTATACCAACAGATGCAGACATTGCTACCCTTTCGTAGCCTTCTTTAATTATTACAGACTTTTCATTAAAAATTTTTCTGATCACTCACGCCACTTAATGAGGCTTTGTAAAAAGAATGTCCAATTAGAATGGACACCAGAATGCAATAATGCATTTGAATATTGAAAAAAGGAACTAATGAAACCAACAATATTGCAGTACCCAGATTTCAGCAAAGAATTTTGCATAACAACCGATGCTATTAAACAGGCATGCGGAGCGGTACTTACACAAGCCCACAATGGTCAACAACGTCAAGAAGCATACGCTTCAAGAATGTTCTTTCAAGGTGAAATTAATAAGTCTACTACAGAACAAGAGTTAGCAGCCATTCATTGGGCCATAAATTATTTTCGACCATACATATATGGCAAGCATTTCATGGTAAAAAGCGATCATAGACCATTGTCATATCTATTTTCTATGAAAAACCCAAGTTTCAAACTCACTCGCATGAGGCTGAATTTAGAAGAGTATGACTTTACTGTAGAATATATTAAGGGGAAAGACAACTGTCGGGAGCAGAAGCAGCAGATTTAATATTAGCATGTTTTAAATCATTATTTGTAAACAAGCGATCAGCTGCGGCAGAAGCTTTCCACCTCATAAGCCGGCATGAAAGCTCTTCCGCCGCAGCTCTTCTGTTTGGTTTATCTTTTCTCTTGTTTCATTCGCTCACTTACGTTGAAACTAAAAACACACAAAACTTTGTAACCAAACCACACACAAGCACACACAAATTAAAACATAACTAATTTTACGCCAACACAAAACAAACCCCTCGCTAAATCAATTCGCTTAATAGGTGGCATAAATGCCCTCCTCAAAACATTTGGTGACCCCGACGTGATCGCGTAAAAAATCGTTTTCGTTAAAATAAAAGTTGAAAAGTGCTTATATATAGTTCGTATGCTCACACAATACAATTGCATATCGTTGCATCGCTATTGAACTTTATCGGTACATTCGAGTACATAGCATCTCTTTATATATTTGTGCACTAGCATATAGTTGCAGCCCTTTTATATACTTTTCGTGCAAATTGTGTTTGTGCTGTTGGTTTTGGTGGTCCGATAGAACCGTTAGCTCGCGGTCAGTGAACGCCAAGCTTGGCTCCGCTATTCTTTCGTTCTCTATTCTCTGCGTTTGGTACAGCTGCATCGGTCGCAAGCCCAAGGTGACATTTGAATACTCTTTTTGAAAATAAAATGGCAGAGAATGATTCGGTTACTGCGTGCCCATCCGGGGCCAATAGTGATTTTGACTTTTATAAAGCCAAAGCGGACTCGGTTTTTCGACAGCTAGTGGCTTTAAATGACTTTTTCGGTTCAGAAGAAGCGTCTCATTTTGATGAGGCCGACCTTCAAGTCAGGCTTGAGCTTATTGAAAAAATGCAAGATAATTTTGATAAGCCTCAAACAGCTGTCGAAAGGCTCAATCTACTAGAGCTGGCTAGTGATGTGCGTGCAAAATTTCTAAACATTTATTGTGCGGTGAAATCCAAAATATCTCGCGAACTAGCAAAACTCCGCCGAGTGTCAGTGATAAATTCGACTGCACTCCCAAATTTCAACATCGAGCAGGCTTCAACCTCCAGGGCTGGTGTCCGGGCCACTAGGCTGCCTGAGTTTAAGCTGCCACGATTTGGAGGCGCTTATATGGACTGGCCAGATTTCTACGCTATGTACACTACAGTCATCGGCAACAACGAGGACCTGACCAATTTGGAAAAATTCCAGCATCTACGCTCCTGTTTGGATGGCCCCGCATTAGACACAATTCGCTCGCTGGAGCCAACAGAGGCCAATTATGAGAAGGCAGTCGACCTATTGACTGCTAGGTTTGATAACAAACTTTTGCATTTTCAGGGGCACATACGATCTATTTTCAGGCTTTCTAGTGTGGTGAAAGGGTCGGCAAGGAGTTTGCGGCAATTGAGCGACGGCATCAACTCTCATCTGCGAGCCCTTAACACAATGGCAACCACCCAGGAGATTGCGGATGGAATGCTCATATCCCTGGTGTCCTCCAAACTGGATCAGCATACCCAGGAGAAGTGGGAAGAGGGATTGCCTACCAATAAGCTGCTAAAATGGACGGATATGGCTGCCTTTTTGGAGAAGAGATGTCGGATGATGGAAAACATTGAAAATGCTATGGTAACCCACACACCTAGCAACCAGGTGGGAAAAACTATAAATAAAAATGTCCAAAACGCTTGCACCGCATCATCCTACACCTCATTATGTATTTTGTGTGATTCTAAGGATCACTTTATTTCGAAATGTCCACAATTTATTGCCTTGAGTCCCACATTACGCTACAAAGAAGCAAAAAGGCTACATCTTTGCCTAAATTGCCTGCGTAAAGGCCACAGCCTGCAGCAGTGCAAGGCTGGGAACTGCAGGCATTGTCGCTCTAAGCATCATACATTGCTACATTTGGAGTCAAATCATGCTTCATCACCCTCGCAGCCCACATCCACTTCTGCTCCTCAAAATAGTGCCTCGCTCATTTCTGCTTCGCCAAATTCACCCCCACCTAAAGCCTCGGTAGATCATCAATCTGATTATGTGCTTCTTGCCACTGCCATCATATATGTCCGAAATCGTTCCGGCATAATGGTGCCCTGCAGAGCCTTGCTCGACTCTGCATCGCAAATTAATTTCATTACTTCTCGACTCGCTCATCAATTGCAACTGTCAACTCGTCGCTCAAATACATGCATCTCAGGTATAGGAGAGTCTTCACTCATGGCTGATAAGGCGGTAGATATTATTGTACAATCTCGCAACAAAGGTTACCGAACATCATTCGCTGCAATAATGACTAGCACCATCACAAATTATCAGCCGCATTTCGACCTAAACTCTTCCGAATGGAACATCCCCAGCAATTTATTCCTCGCCGATCCGCTCTTTCATAAAAGTCAAAGGATTGACATTCTTATAGGAGCTGGAATCTTCTTCGACCTGCTTTGCGTTGGGCAGATACGGCTGGCCGATCACCTTCCCTCCTTGCAAAAAACTAGATTGGGTTGGGTAGTATCCGGTGGCATATCTTCGCCGGCCCATAAACACTCTTCTCTTCCCGCATTGTCAGTTGAGCACGATGTACAATTGGAACCTGAATCGTTGCCGGACCTTGTCAAACGGTTTTGGGAAATTGACAGCTATTGTGGATCGTCATCTGCTCCAACTGATGAGGATGCCTTGTGCGAGAATTTATTTGCTCAATCTTATTCTCGGCTTGAGTCAGGCCAATATTCAGTTCGATTGCCCGCAAAGACTAGTCTCGATATGCTAGGAGATTCATACCATCGTGCGTCGCAGCGATTCAAATCATTGGAATCCAAATTGGCTAGAAATCCTAATCTCAAGGCTCAATATATTGCCTTTATAAAGGAGTATATCGATTTAGGCCATATGTCGCTCTCTTGCAAGCAGTCAGCTTTGCCGCAATATTATTTGCCCCACCACTGCGTTCACAAATTGGACAGCTCGACTACCAAGCTCAGGGTAGTCTTCGATGGTTCTGCCAAGTTTTCGTCTGGATACTCTTTAAACGAGTTGCTCTTTGCTGGTCCCTCCATTCAGCCTAAAATCTTCAGCACTTTGGTTCGGTTCAGATTCTTTAAAGTGGCACTATGCGGCGACATCTGCAAAATGTATCGCTGTGTGCGTGTCTCCGAACCTGATAATCTGCTCCAATGCATCCTCTGGCGTGATAGTCCAAGCAAAGAAATTAAAATATACACCCTGGACACCGTCACTTATGGCACTAAGCCTGCTGCATTCCTAGCAATTCGTGCTATGCAGCAGCTCTCCTATGATGAGGAGAAGGATTTTCCTGTGGCAGCCAAGATCGTGCGTAGGGACTTTTATGTTGACGACCTTATTTCTGGAGGCGACTCGATCGAAGAGGTCGTTTATATCCGGCAGCAGGTTAAATCGTTACTTGCAAAAGGCCTATTTCCAATTCGTAAATGGTGCTCCAATGAGCCGGCAGCGCTTGAAGGAGAACTTGAGGCTGATCGCGAGAAAATGCTCAAATTTAGTGATGGGACTGACGTCGCCAAAACACTTGGCCTATACTGGGATACAAGTTCCGATAATTTGCTTTTTGGATTCTCTGGAAATGTAGCAGACAAGCCAGCTACCAAGCGGTCTATTTTATCAGCCGTAGCCAAATTCTACGATCCCCTAGGTCTTATAGCGCCCATTATAACCAGGCTCAAAATATTCCTGCAAGTCCTGTGGAAAGATAAGCTCGACTGGGGTGAGACTTTGCCACAATCTTTGCATTTCTTATGGTTGGAACACTCCGCGCAAATCTCGGCAGTCAGCCATTTAAAATTTCCTCGTTTCATCATGCAATCTGACTCATCTTTGGAAATTCATGGATTCTGTGATGCAAGCTTGGCGGCATATGGTGCCTGTATTTATGTGCGCTCCGAAGCAGGGGGCACCTACTCATCACATTTGCTTTGCTCCAAGTCTAGAGTCTCGCCGCTTAAAACAATAACCATACCCAAACTTGAATTATGCGCAGCTCTATTGCTATCCGAACTCATCCACAACATCGCTAATGCCATTTCTCAGCCTTGCACATATCATTGTTGGTCTGACTCAACAATTGTGCTCTCTTGGATTCGCCAGGCCCCATCAGACTTTAACATTTTCGTCTCCAACAGAATCGCGCAGATTCAAGAAAGGACCAAGGATATGGCTTGGCATCATATATCGACCCACTACAACCCGGCTGACATATTATCCAGAGGATGTACTCCGCTCGAACTTTTGGATTCGACGCTGTGGCGTGAGGGCCCACCATTCCTGCGGACAGACGAAGCTTGCTGGCCGCCTCATACGCCTACTCTAGTAGATGTGCCTGAACGCCGCCGCCTCGCGCTGGTGCTGACGCAAAGCCAGGATATTTCGTATGGCTGCAAGTTTCAAAATTGTTTTGGAAAGCTGCAGCGAGTCTTTGGCTACATACATCGGTTCCTAATGCTAAAAGCCAAGGATGAGCCACGACGGCGAGGACCTCTTACAGTAGACGACATCAAGGGAGGCACGCATCTGCTCATCAAGGGAATCCAGCTCATCAACTTTGCTGAGGAGTATAAGGCCCTGCAATCTGAAAGGCAGATTTCCTCAAAAAGCAAGCTGTACTCGCTGCATCCAATCTGCGATGAATCGGGACTTATTCGAGTTGGCGGTCGGCTGCAGAATTCATTATTGGATTATGATGCAAAACACTCAATTTTGCTTCCCAAGGATCATCCAGTCACGTCAGCAATCATAGCTCACTATCATTTGAAATTTCTTCACTCAGGCCCGCAGAGCTTATTGGCGGCCTTACGGCAAAGGTTTTGGCCAATTGGTGGTCGAAAAATAGTCGCCGCCACTATCAACAAATGCATTCGCTGCTTTCGATTAAAGCCCAAATTAGCTGAGCACATCATGGCCCCCTTGCCATCCAACCGCGTGCAGCCAAGTCGACCATTTGTCACAGTGGGAATCGATTTCTGTGGTCCTTTCTACTCCAAGTCTGAAGTCAGAAACCGGCCACCCGTCAAATGCTATATCGCAATATTTGTTTGCTTCGCCATTAAAGCCTGCCATTTGGAGCTGGTGGAGGATTTGTCTGCGGCTTCATTCATCGCTGCCCTCAACTGAGGGCAACTGAGGCAACTGTTTCTCGCCGACCCTCAAAACAGCGATCTTCAGCAGGCCTTCGTTTCCATCGGGATCAAATGGCAATTTATTCCCCCTCGTTCGCCTCATTTCGGCGGCCTATGGGAGGCTGCCGTCAAATCTGCAAAATATCATTTTCATCGGGTCGTTGGCAACACTATTCTCTCATTCAATGAGCTTCGCACTTTAGTTTATGAAATTTCAGCGATGCTTAACTCTCGACCGCTCTGTCCAATTTCAGAAAACCCTAACGATTTGGATGTCCTTACACCTGGTCACTTTTTGATTGGGTCTTCTTTCGCCACAATCGAGGAGCCCGACATCACGCACCTCAGCATCGATCGGCTGAGCCGCTGGCAACGAGTTTGCCAAATTCAGCAAATCATCTGGCGGAAGTGGAGTACCAGCTACCTCTCGCTTTTACAAGAGCGTGGGAAATGGCGTGCATCAAGGCCCAACATCTTACCGCATAGCATTGTGGTGCTCAAGGAGGACAACATCCCTCCGCTTCAATGGCGTCTTGGCAGAGTGGAGAGCATTATCCATGGAGCTGACGGTGTGGCCCGTGTCGCTGTCATTCGGACAGCCACCGGCCTAATAAAAAGGGCTGTTGGCAAAATAGTTGTTCTACCCCTGGAAACCACCTCATCTGGCAGCGTGCCGCATCCAGCGGGGGGAGCATGTCGGGAGCAGAAGCAGCAGATTTAATATTAGCATGTTTTAAATCATTATTTGTAAACAAGCGATCAGCTGCGGCAGAAGCTTTCCACCTCATAAGCCGGCATGAAAGCTCTTCCGCCGCAGCTCTTCTGTTTGGTTTATCTTTTCTCTCGTTTCATTCGCTCACTTACGTTGAAACTAAAAACACACAAAACTTTGTAACCAAACCACACACAAGCACACACAAATTAAAACATAACTAATTTTACGCCAACACAAAACAAACCCCTCGCTAAATCAATTCGCTTAATAGGTGGCATAAATTAATGCCCTCCTCAAAACAACAACCATATTGCGGACGCCTTGTCACGCATAACAATAAAAGATCTGAAAACAATTAATAGAGAAATACTAAAAGTAACTACTAGGTCAAAACAGGAAAATCCCTGCAAAGACGAAACAAAAGTAAAACACAAAATAAAAATCTATGAAGTTGTCAACAAAGAAACATGTTACAAAGAAACATGTTACAAAGAAACATGTTTTAACCAAAATAAATAAACACAAGTGCTTATTAAAACGAGGAAAATCAATTGTTTCACGCTTTGATGTTAGTGACTTGTTTCTAATGAAACATTTGATCTAAATCAATTCTTTCAAAGGCTTATTTCAAAAGCAGCAATGCATAAAATAGCAAAAATGCGAATATGACCAAATGAACAAATATTTGAATTCGTATAACTAAATGAATTTAAAACAAAGGGCAAGCGAGTACTCGAAAAAGTAGAACTAGCTATTCTACAAAAGGTGAGAATCATAGAAAAAAACGACAAAGCTCAAATTAAAGAAATTTTGACAAAATTCCATGATGATCCTATAGAAGGAGGTCACACTGGTATTGCGCGAACCCAGTTGTAAAAGATTTTATTATTGGCCCCAAATGACAAAGACAATATCAAAGTATGTAAAGACTTGTTTAAAATGTCAACAAGCCAAAACAACAACACATACCAAAACACCATTAACATTGACACCAACGCCAGCAACAGCATTTGATACCGTTTTAATTGAAACCATCGGTCCATTACCGAAATCGCAAGACGGAAATGAGTATGCAGTTATAATCATATGCGATCTAACCAAGTTTTTACTCACTATTCCAACACCGAATAAAAGTGCTAAAACAGTTGCAAAGGCTATATTTGAATCATTTGTATTGAAGTACGGTCCAATGAAGACGTTCATTACGGATAAAGGCACAGAATACAAAAAATCGCTTATAAATGAATTATGCAAATATATATAGAAAATCTAACATCTAGCGCTCACCATCATCAAACTTTAGGAACAATAGAAAAAAGCCACCGAACTTTCAATGAATATATTCGTTCATACATATCGGTTGACAAAAGTGATTGGGACATTTGGTTACCATATTTCACTTATTGTTTCAATACAACACCCTCAGTAGTGCATGACTATCGTCCATATGAACTAGTATTTGGCAGATTACCCAGACAATTAAAAGATTTCAGTAAAACAAACAAGATAGACCCAATATACAACGTCGAAGACTACTCCAAAGAACTTAAATACAGACTAGAAATGTCATACAATAGAGCTAGAAGAATGTTAGGACAAGCAAAAGCGGATAGAAAATTAAGATACGATATGAATACAAATAATTTCGATTTAAAAATAGGAGATAAAGTATTGCTTAAAAACGAAACAGGTCATAAGCTAGATAATGGATACGAAGGTCCTTACGACGTGTTAGATATAATATTAAATGACAACATAACTAATAAAATACGAAATAAGAAACAACAGGTAGTACATAAAGATAGGCTCAAAAGGGAAAAATAGAATTTAAAACAAGACAGTCATTGCCAAATATCTAATATTAAAAAAAAAAAACGGTCTGATCAGCCATTAAAAAAAATAATAATAATAATAGAGCTATAAATATATTTGAATTTTAAAAATAAAAATATATAAATAAAAATTTTTATTCCTTTTATTCATTTGAAACTCGATATCATCAAACATTTTAATTCATTAATATTAAAAAAAAGATATAATTAATATTAATTAATAAATTAAATAAGAATAAATGCATGTATAACAAAATAAAAAAAAACATGCAAAATGATACAATTATAATATAATTGATAGAAAATAACTTCATTCCATTACGTTATTTTTCTAAAGGAGAGAGGTGTAGTATGTGCATATATTGGCAACATTAAGTTGCATTAAATAAATAAACAAACTCCAGTGGACGTGAAATAAGATCACCCACTTATGCCAGACGCTATGTCAGCATTCCCACGCTGACCGCTATCAACCACTTATGCTGCACTCTAAGCCAGCATTCCCACGCTGACTGAGTGCAATATATATATATATGCCCATAAGACTCTCTCTCCCTTTAACATAATATATAATATATATATTCAGCTGCGCTTTCGCCGGTGCAAACAGCAGTGCCATTATTATGTACTTAGGCTAAGTTCACCAAATTATTTTGAATAAAGAATATTCTGCAACTTACTACTTATGAGCACAGACGGGCTAACCAGTTTTTCTAAAAAATATATCTACACATGGGGAGTGTGGCCCATTACTAGATTTTAGCTAGTACGTCCGCCCGCTTTGGAGCGTTCTTACAGAGACTGCGACGTTTCCTTCCTTTGCAAGTTCGTCTGCGGTTTGGTCTCCATCTATGCCCTGGTGACTGGGAATCCAATAGATCCGCACTGGCGTTGTCGTGCCTGGGATATCTAGTGCGTCCTTGCTTGCCAGTACATTTTTGGAACTGACCGCTGACGATTGCATGGATCTAATTGCCGCCTGACTGTCTACGAACAGGTTTACCGCCTCACATGAGCGGGCTATTTTCTGCGCAAGCTCTGCCGCCTTTCTGATGGTGACGACTTCCGCCTGAAATATGCGGAGCCCGCTCCAATTCCTCCTTCCATCTTGGAGCAGTCAGTGTATATGTTGAGGTATCGAACATGCTCCTGAACCGTTTTCCAGTCTTCAGGTCCCATGAATGTTGATGTTTTCACATCCGGGCAAGTTCTAGGAGTCATGTAGTCACACTTCTCATGGTTCGACCAATTGAGCTGTGCCCGTATCCTTTTGTCCACATGTTTCCTAGCGCTACTAGGCGTTTTCTTTCCCGCGGTCAGTTGCGCGTGGATGTTCAGGGGATCAATTCGAAGTATCGTCTCCAGAGCTTTTATAGGGGTTGACCTCAGCGCCCTAGGTATGCAGAGCAGTGCCTGCCGCTGGGTTCTCTTCATAAGCTTTTTGTACGTCCTCATTTCCATGGCTTGCCACCACACTAAGACCCCGTATAGCAAAGTCGGACGCACCACCGATATGTAGACTCAGTGCATCAGAGCGGGTGAGACCACATGTGCTGCTGAGCATCTTCTTGGATGCATACAGTCCCAATACGATTATACCCGTCGACAACTTAATAGATTTTCAATCCAAAAGTTGATGGCGGGGTGCGTGTTAGTCGCTCCTATGCGCTGCATTATTGTGTTTGTGCTTACATTATTGAATTTGGGAGATGCTCTTCCCTGGTTGATAGTACCTGGTACTTGTTAGCATCGGTGATCTCTACGGAACCGGGGAAGTACGCGTGTATTAGTGATGTTAGGGTCTCTTTGCTGCCCTAAGTTCACTGCCCATCGTCGCGTTTGGGCTGACTCTGTACGGTGGGTTGTTTTGAAAGCAACTTCCGTTGTTTATCC